GTGCAAATAACAAATAATTGCATACTCCCCCCAAATCACTTATTTATTAATTTGCAAGTTACTACCTTTACCTTCTTAAAGAATGAAGTATGTGCAATGGCTAATTTACATAATTTTCTATTTAAATGCATGTAATTAATGGCAGCAAAATTAAAAAATAATTAATAGTAGTAATTTAGAGAATTACAGTTTCCTTAAGTTTTTCTACATAATGCAGTTTACACATAATAATCGTTCAGTTAGCCCATTAATAACTTAATTACTTTAAATAGTTTTATGCCTTTATAAAATAAAAGTCCTTTCTTTGAAGGATTATAGGAATTCTCTTTGAAGTCCAACCCCACTCTCCTGTATAATTGCCTTCAGCAGCCTGCTTTCACCGAAGACGGAAATGGTTCCATTTTCTTACTGAGTTCTCTGCTCCTTAACTATAGCAGAGTTTGTCATAGGCATTTCCCCAGTATTCCCGGAGCAGAGCTCTTACCTCTCTTCAAGTCTCAGATGGAATACAGCCTCCAAATATGCCCATCAGAGATAATATTAACACTTAACGCTCACAGGTTCACATGTAGTCTCAAGTTGGGTGACCACAAAAACAGAGCTCTTGTGTGCATACCGAGGGGAAGTTGAATCCCCACATATTTTTTGTTGAGCACCGTCTTGCACAGATAAGCACTTTTAGATAACTCATCTGAGTTTCAGTTGAAGTTGCAAGGAATGCATGTACATTGTTGAAACTTAACAACATGGGACTCACACTGCAGATACTTTTAAATTCCCAAGCCAGTGTAATACACACAGTTGCTTTCTCATACTTCTCAAGATTTCTTGCTAGTTTGTGTATGAATGGCACTTTCTTTAGTCAACCATTTCTCTTTAAACCTCAAAGTCCATTGCTATGCAGAAAGTTTAGTAGTGTAACAAGAGGAAAATATGGAGGCTAGAGAAGAAATGACAGGGTCTAGATTGATTTTGATCAGTGTTTTTCAAATGATGTTCTTTCCACAGAAGGGTAAGTTGGGCTGACCAATAAGAGAAGGGGTTCCAAAGACTTCATTTAAATATTGATTTTGAATTTTGGTATCCTTTTTTTTTTTGAACACAATACAGATGTTTTATTATGGAAATGTACATTTGAAACCTATATATTTTTATTAACCAGTATCACACTAGTAAATGCAATAAAATTTTTAAAAATAAAGAAGATATTATTTCAATTCAAAAATAAATAAATAAATAAAGGCAGTAGTGTTGGTGATTAAGCTACTGTCTCTCAGCTCCCAACCCACCCTGCTATCACCTGCTTTGTGATGCTAAAGCGGGGGCCCTGCAAAACCTTATTTCTGCTTTGCCAGCTGGTGCCCTACTAGGCTCTGCCAACAGGGGGTGCCAGAGGGAGGTTGGCAGGCTGCAGGGGGCACTCTGTCTCCTTTTATGCTTTCAGTACCTGCAGCGGTACTGGAGTAAGTTCCAGTTTCAAATGCTACCCACACTCCCAGGACCAGCATTGTTGTATCTCTTTAGAGATACCAGCACAGCCATCTGTCTGGACTCTTCTTCTAGATTCTAGATTCTTTAACCCCAACCTCTTGCCTCTGGCTGTAGAGGTAGCAGCTCCTTCCTGATATATTACCTCCGTGTCTCCTTTTGCCTTTAACTATTTAAGTATTTATTTAACAAATTCTGTTTATTAAATTCTCTATTCAAGTAACTGGTGAGGCTCATTTTCCTGACTAGGCCCTGGCTGATACAAAGTCACAAGGGAAGCTTCTTTAACCTCTTTCTGGAGTTCAAGTCTCCTTGCTGCCTGAAAACTCCTTTCTACACTATGTTATATTAAAAATTAACCTAAATAATTTATTTACATAGATAAATATATACACATATACATATGTGTATATACATTTGATACAAATCATTATGTTGTGCACTAAGACTAATACAATGTTATATGCCAATTTTATTTTAATTTTTTTAAATGACCTATTCTGCCTCCAGAATAGGACTTTGAGCATAGTAACTTCACTTTTCTAAGCCTCAGTTTTGTCATACATGGGCAAGTAGTTGGGTATCGATATCTGTGCAGTAAGGTTATTTTGAGGACTAAATGGAAGAATCTCTATGCAGGCACATAGCTAGTCCATACAGATGCTTGTGATAAAAATAAAACATCCCTCTATTTGAGAATAGCCTCCCCAATTCCATGGTAATCCTAGTCCAGTGGTCAGCAATCTGCGGCTCGCGAGCCACATGCGGCTCTTTGGCCCCTTGAGTGTGGCCACGAAGTTTCAATCGCACTGTCTGTGTGCGCCCGCACATGGTATTTTGTGGAAGAGCCACACACTCAAGGGGCCGCAGTTTACCGACCGCTGTCCTAGTCCAACCCTATTTTTTTTTTATTTGGATAAAATTTTTATTAAAAATTTTTTTTCCTTTTTTTTTTTAATTGCTTAAAGTATTACAAAGGGTATTACATATGTGTCCTTTTTTTTTCCCCACGCGCCTTGACAGTCAATTTTGGTATCCTTGATCTACAGATTC